TTGTACAATCTTAGACCATTTTAAAGGGCTCGTATATATATATATATAACTGTAACTCATTATTCCCTCCTGATCAAAGCAGTTCTGAATGAAGGCATCAAAATCAGATGCATGCAGGAGACATTACTCACACCTTACCCCCCAGCCATTATAACTTACGCTTCAAGAACGTTTTAACATACACGAGCCCTTTAAAATGGTCTAAGATTGTACAATAAAGTCATGTTAATTATAATTATGTTTTCACAGAAGTATTAAAAGCTTAACAGAATAAATAAAACAAACCTATTTTGTATCTAAAAGGAAAATAATCTAATGTGATACAGTAAGAGGTCTAAATGATTAGAATATTTAGAAAAAAAATCAACATCGATTTCATCGAAACACTTTCTGAACATACATTTCTGAAACTTTCACCTGTATCACTCAGGTTCATGTTTTACATGATCAGCAAAACACCAAACATTTGTGATTAAGGTTGAGTTATAAAACAGTCACTGAAAATGTTTAGATGGGAGTTAATAACAGACAAAAAAAACTGATCCACTTACTGAAAGCAAATGTTTAACTACTTTTATACAACTTTTAGGAATTTTGTAGTTACTCGTGTTTTTCATGACTTGTGTGCACTGAAATGATGGTTCATAAGTTTTACATATTTAGACTAGCATTAATTCTGTGATATAAACTACAAAAATGTCGTTAAAAGACCCTCTTTGGGATAAATAAAAGTTGAAATTATATAAATGTAACTTAATTTAAAAAGTTGAAGTAGAATTCTGTCATTCAGCTTCGACGACAAGCGAACGTTTTTTCTCAAATTTAATCCGTTTATTTTGGTTCTTTTTTTTTTTTTTCAAATTCTGACCACAAGCCGTTAACATTTTCATTTTTATTAAAATACACATGTTACATGAAGGAACAATATTTACCTTTGGACAAATCGTCATCTTTGTTTTTGGAAGCTTCGGCAAAAGCTGGAAAGAGAGCCATGATGTCGCATGTAAACAGTCGCAAGAATGTGACGTTAACAAAGGTCGGCGGGACTCGCGCAACAGCGAGTTTGTCTAAACCAATCAGATGCTCGTATTTATTTGATTGACGTTCTGGTTGTCCAATTGCGTACGTTTGTGTCAACCCCTTAAGAACGTTCCAACCGACAGTCGCCGCCAGATTTTTCAGTGTTGTTGAAGAGGCCGCAACTTAATCTCGTCTGTTTCTAACCAGAAGCGTTTTTCTTTTACTTTGTTAGAAAGAAGAAAAAATATGAGAGAAATTGTTCATCTGCAAGCTGGCCAATGCGGCAACCAAATCGGAGCCAAGGTTAGAAACAAAGTTGAATGCGAAATTGTGCTGTTAATTCAATGAAACGCGATGAAAAAGTTGAGATCAGTTTGCGCGGGTTGCGAAATCTACGGTTGTCTTACTTAGCAAAACTGCTACTGGTTGCGCAGTTTCAAGTCGAACTGACAGTCCTGCTTTTTTAACAGTCTTATCTTTTATTTTTTGTAGTTCTGGGAGGTGATAAGCGATGAACACGGCGTCGACCCAACCGGGACTTACCACGGGGAAAGCGAGCTGCAGAGGGAGCGGATCAACGTGTATTACAACGAGGCTGCAGGTTTAACTTTAGCTTTGCTAAGCATGCTCAGCTACACGGTCAGATTAGATCATTCAGGTCTGTGTTTATCCAGCACTGAGTCCGATGAAGTCTTTCGGATCAAAGACGAAACGTTTCAACCAAGACGAATCTGTCCAGATGACCTGATTTGATTTATGTGGATTAAAATGAATCCGTTTCCATGATGCAAATTAACAAAACCTTGGCACCACGTCCCTTAATTATTAATTATAATTTATTTACTTTAGTCCAGACCAAAATATTTTTGGTTGGATGTTTATAGAAATAATAGTTTATACATTTATTAGTAAAGAGGTGAATGACGACTACAACTTCCTTGAATATAGTTTTTCCCACTTTCCAATAAAATGGTAATTTAAAAGCTCTGCCGTTCATTTTAATTATATTATGCATAATGATCTGGCTTCTGACGTCTGTCAGATTAGAAATATTCAAACTTCATATTTGCATGTATCTTGTAACTTAAAAGTTCCCACAGCATCTCTGCAAAGCACAAAGTCCAGGTCAATAGCATTTTTTATTTTGTTAAGACATTTTTTCCTCCTGTGGTCTTTTCAAGGTGGCAAGTATGTCCCTCGTGCAGTTCTGGTGGACTTGGAGCCTGGCACTATGGACTCTTTAAGGTCTGGTCCTTTCGGTATGGTGTTCAGACCTGACAACTTTGTCTTTGGTGAGCATTTTATTAAAGCAAAGAAATAAAATTAGACATTTTAGTAGCATACTGTCGGTTAATGACTGTCTGTACATAATTTCGTCCCACATCATTTACCACGTGGTGAGAATGACAATAAACCTACTTGAACTTAAGAGTTTTGTGTGTTAAAATCAGTTCTTTTTAGAGGAAAAAGTCATTTTCTTCAGTGTTCACTGATTTATGGCACATTGTTTGAATTTGTATCATGTTAAATGTAGGATATAACAAGTTAAAGGAGTTCTGACAACATAGCAGTGAATAATAGATTTTCCTGTATTTCAGGTCAGAGTGGTGCTGGTAATAACTGGGCTAAAGGTCACTACACAGAGGGAGCTGAGCTGGTGGACTCTGTTATGGATGTGGTGAGAAAAGAGGCAGAAAGCTGCGACTGCCTCCAGGGCTTTCAGCTCACACATTCCCTGGGAGGAGGCACTGGTTCAGGCATGGGTACACTCCTTATCAGCAAGATCCGAGAGGAGTACCCAGACCGCATCATGAACACTTTCAGCGTTGTGCCCTCACCTAAGGTTCATATAGTTCATTCAAATACGTTCAGATTAAATGTCCGGCCCTCTTCCTGCTAATCCTGTTCCATTTTCTTCTTTTGGCCACTCTTTTCTCTTTCAGGTATCAGACACTGTGGTGGAGCCCTACAACGCCACGCTCTCCGTCCACCAGCTTGTTGAGAACACCGATGAGACCTACTGCATTGATAACGAGGCCCTTTATGACATCTGCTTTCGTACACTGAAACTCAGCACACCCACCTACGGTGATCTCAACCACCTGGTCTCGGCCACCATGAGCGGGGTGACCACCTGTCTGCGCTTCCCTGGCCAGCTGAACGCCGACCTGAGGAAACTGGCTGTGAACATGGTGCCCTTCCCCAGGCTGCACTTCTTCATGCCAGGCTTTGCCCCCCTGACCAGCCGTAGCAGTCAACAATACAGGTATAGAAGCACAACCGTTCTTACTGTAAAACCACAGATTTCTGTTGGTTTTTCTACCAAATCCTGACTTCTTTTTTTTTTTTTTTCAGGGCTCTATCAGTTCCTGAGCTCACCATGCAGATGTTTGATTCCAAGAACATGATGGCAGCTTGTGATCCACGCCACGGGCGGTACCTCACAGTCGCTGCCATCTTCAGAGGACGCATGTCCATGAAGGAGGTGGATGAGCAGATGCTGAATGTGCAGAATAAGAACAGCAGCTACTTTGTGGAGTGGATACCCAACAACGTAAAGACCGCTGTCTGTGACATCCCCCCACGTGGGCTCAAGATGGCTGCCACTTTCATCGGCAACAGCACAGCCATTCAAGAGCTCTTCAAACGCATCTCGGAGCAGTTCACCGCCATGTTCCGCCGCAAGGCTTTCCTCCACTGGTGAGTAAAACCCAGTGAGCAGATGTGTTCTGGTGCAGGCACATTCTGACAATTGTGCACCTGTTCCAGGTACACTGGTGAAGGCATGGATGAGATGGAGTTCACCGAGGCTGAGAGCAACATGAACGACCTGGTGTCGGAGTATCAGCAGTACCAAGAGGCCACCGCTGATGAAGAGGGAGAGTTCGAGGAGGAGGGCGAAGAGGATGTGGCCTAAACGCCCACCATGAGTACTTTGTTAAAGCTGGGCAGTAATCATCAAATCATTGTGTTTTTAAGAAAATTCAATTCAATATAGTTTATTGATCCTCAAGGGGAAATTTTATTTCAGTACATCCTGCCAGAAATGACAAAACTGTTCTTGTTCAGCCTTAGCGAGGACTGATTTTATTTCTTGGATTCAAATGTCCCCACGTTTATGGCCTCTGGTTTAGAATATGAATGTTTTTCTCAGTTTAGAGGATGTCACCTGAACTTAACCTCAATAACATTTTGATAAATGTTTTAGTTTTTATTGAGAAAAAACTGGAACTTGTTCCAATCAATATGCTTTTATGCAATCAGATATGAAGAGTTTATTTATTTTATTAGATAGATGAGGAAAAACTCCATATTATTTTCAAATAAGAAATTCCTTTCTGGTTGAACTAACCTAATGAATAATTCAAGTTGAGAACAATTTTTTTCCTTCATTTTGATGAGTAGAGCAGCTATTTAACAAGTTTTCAAATGTTTTGTATTAAACAAAGAAACGTCACTTTAAGCTTTCCTTTGAAGGATGAACGTAAAGCAGCACCTGTCCGGACACATTACTGGTTTGGCTCATCCAAAGTGGATCATAGCCGCTTGTGACTCCGTTCGTTCATAACTTGTATTAGATGTTCAGCGTGACGCCCTCAACAGCCTTGTGGCTTTAGAAATAAAATAACTCGACACTTGTGAATGTAGAACTGACTTGTGGAGCGGCTTCAGGGGGATTTTTAGCCTCACACAAGCTGTTCTTGGTTTTTACGGATTTTCTTTGTCAATTATCTTTAGACTAAAACTTATATTGACTGATTGTGACAGTGAGAGGAGGCGTTCACTCTTCAGTAAATCTGTTTTTAGTTTAATAAACTTTTCCACTTGGTGATACAATCTGGTCTCATCTTTTGTTATACAGTACAATCAGGACTGAACTCGGCGTTAATCCAGTTGGATTTCAACTGTGATGTAAAAGGAAATTATGAAAATTTGAACTATACAAGATAAAAACTTCCTGTTGCTGCTTCTGGTCTTTATTTGCATTCATCTGTGATGAAACTGAACGATACCCGTGGATAAGGTCACATGACAGCCTGAATCTAAACTGAGACAAACTTCCAATGTACGTAAATAACATTATAATGCTGCTGTGAGTTAAAAATATATTAAACATAGTGTTCACTTCAAACATCCAATAAATGACCTTACAAAGAGGCTGAAAAGAGTTTTACACTTTTTAATTTTAACATTTTAAACCCAGTTTATTCTAAAAAAAAACAACATTTTTTAAACACTTCATGGCAACAGTGTTTTGTTTTGGGCCTTTTTTTTGTTTGTCATAGTTTCATTCACACAAGAAAAATTCCTGATAAAATGTAATTTACAAGAATCGGCCGTCATTCTAAGAGGTTTAAAATGGATTAAAGACCACAGCTGAATAGGAATGACTCTTAAATGCTTGTACGCTCCATAAAGTGTAATACAGATCATTTTGGGGGGGTCATAAAAGTTGTTTTTTGTGTTTTTGATTCGCTTGCTGCTCGAGCAGACCAAATGCCTCAAAGTGGAAAAGTAGAACAATAAAATTATAAAGATGCTGCCCTGAATAGAGAAAGTGAAAACACGGGTTTTAAAAAACAAAGTTTCACAGATCAAAAATATAAAAAAACGTAAAATGTACATTTTGAACAAAATAAACAATGAGGCACGGAGTCTTAACTTACATTTAAAACATTTGCTTTTAGCTTAAAGTCACAATAACTCATGTGGGATTTACCTGTCTAAATAAAGGTTGAATGAATGAAAATAACTCGTGTTTCATTCTGGATGATTTTTTTTTTAACGTCTTATTGGCTGAGCAACAGATTTCTGAACAGAAAAGGTGCGTTCCTGCAAAAACCAGCATCAAATTTAAAATAAAGTCGCAAAACAGCAGAGAAAGTGTGATGATGAATCATAATAGCGTTCTACAAACGTCATAAAACAACAAGGTCCCAATCTTTATTTTCACGCTGAAAACATTTTAGGGTTGGCATTAAAAGATTTCAGCTTTTATTTCCAGGTAAACTAGATTTTCAGGTGACAAACAGCTTTATGTGCGTTAAAGAGATAAAACGGGTGTTTAAATCTGAATTCTGTTGATTAAATAATTCTGCTCACTTTAAAACATGACGTGGGATTTTGTTCACAAATCCAGATGTTTTCTGCGCACAACAAAAAATGTGGTTTTGGAGACGTGAGGTGGATTTGACAGTAAAACATGTTTTTTTTTTTCCTTTTTGTCTGATTTTTTTTTTTTTTTTACTTATTGTGCGTTCTGTAACAAGTCACATCTTTTTGTGGCTCGGCTACAAAGAGTCCGTTTGTTGCTGCCGCCTGTCGGCCTCAATCTGATGTGACTGATGAAGACGGCGGTCGCTTGTCAGCCGAGCCCCGACGCCGCTCCACCTCCTGCTGAACCTCTCTGACCGCCAGGATGCGTGTGAGCATGCTCTGTAGGGTGGCAGCGTCCAGCGGCTGACAGGAGTACCAGTGGGGGCTGTTGGGGGCAGAAACACAAAAAGTCACTTTTTAATCCGCGTTTCTGCAAGAACCTTCTTTTATCTCTGAATCTGCGAGGTGAAGTCAGAAACTAGGCTTGTTGGAATTAAAATTATAATCCTAAGTAAAGTTTGGAGTTCATGTCAGCCAATTTTAAAACATCATATTCTCAGCTGATATCTAAAAAGGTGCAAAGACCCAAATATTTTGCCCTGGAAAAAAACTCTGACCTGTTTGTGTGGACGCTCCTTTCAGGTTGCAGGTAAAACTTATTGGTTTGTTTCTTTGCAGATTCTGGGCTGTTGGAAAAAATTACAACAACAAAAAATATATATATATGGTTTTTTTTTCCACCCTCTGACAGCAGAAGTTTTTGTGTTTGTTTGTTCGAGTCTGACCATCTGGAGAGGTAGAACTCGTAGAGCCGGACCGGACACTGCAGGGGGTTGGACGAGTTTTCCATCAGCTCCAGGTCTCTGCTGTTTTCCGGCTGATATGTCCTTAACCGCTCTAAAAAAAAACAAAAAAAGAGTCGGGAAGTATCAAACATTTTTTAATTCATGAACTCTTAACACGCTATTGTTAGAAACCTTCATGAAGATTTCTGCTTCTCGGCTGTTGGAAACCTTCACAGTAAATGGTGCACAGATGTGCTTTATTTTAACAAGCTGCTGCTCCTGATCGTGTCAGAGACGAGTCACACGAGTGAAAATGACTCCATCATGACTCAATTTTTTTCTACTTAATAAAATATTGTGGTGTGGCAGCACAGGCTACTGAGAGATGTGCAGCTCTTGTTGTAGATCAAGAATCAACCACCACATGGCACTTAGACATTACTGTTCAACCCACACAGAGTGAACCCCCAAAAGTCTTCATGACAACTACTGGTACCTCCCTCACTCATGGTTACTCTACTGAATGACCTAACACAAACTAACACATAATGAACACATAAACTACACTCACAAGAACAGACTAATCACTAAAAGAACAATGCTAAACAGCTAACTGAAATAATTAACAATGAACATAAATTCTACCCATAATCCCTCACTGAGCCCATGTGACTGACAGTCAACCACATCAGAAAACTACAATAGTATTTTTTATTTTTTTTTCTGAACAGTGTCAGTAACACAGCTAGTAATAAAAAATATACAGTAGCCTACCAGGAAGTCATTGATCGTTACATTCATATTCCTCCTGCACCCCTCTCCCTGGAGGCACAACAGGGAAATTCCACCCCCACCCAGTGGACCAATAAATCCAAGTTTCATTGGTCCAATGTGACCTGTTCCGAAATTTCAATAGTCATATATATATATATATATATATATATATATATGTATATATATAT